AGTAGTAGTAGGAGTAGTAGTAGGAGGAGGAGGAGGTGTAGTAGTAGTAGTAGTAGTAGTAGCAGCAGCAGCAGCAGCAGTAGTAGCGGAAGGTGTCGTGCGAACAGTGCTGTTTTGTTTCTGGGTTCCTACTATACGAGATCTCTTTCAAGAAACTATATTACTGTCCCAGCCGGCTGCTGAACAGCCAGGACAAGGAAATGTGCTTACTACTTTAGTGTCCTTTCTGCTGTTTCAAGCCAGTAAGAGAATCTCACAGAAAGTTTCATGGAGCTTGGCTGAGACTCTCGACCGGAATGTGCAAAGACCTGTGCGCATAAAAGAAATAATGTGACAACCAAAGCCAGAGGAACCTAAACCCTCACCCAAACTCCGAAAATATCTCGAAGCCCTAAATCTTGAACTAGCCGCGTAGACCAAGGAAGGGCGCCCACGGAGGAGAAAATGGAACCCGTGCTGGCTAGCTTTGACCTCGAGGGAATTACCAGGCCGGTTGTTTATGGTTCAGAGACTAGGGTTTAGCTTTCAAGCGTTTACGGGGTTTTAGGTTTTTCCATCGCTAAACCTTTAACCATCTTAAACCTAAACACCCTGAACCCCCCAACCGCTCTACCTAATTTTTTAGTTTTTAGGGTTTAGGACTACCTAAAGCAAGGGCTTGGCCCCTTAGCCAGTCAAGGCTGCATGCTTGAAGATTGTGTCTTGTAGTGAGAAGAACGGATTGCTGGCATTGTCAACGCTTTCTTCGCGGAACTTCGATCTCTGAACCCTACACCTTGCAGGACCTCAACAAAATCTTGGTAGGATTGTAAGCGGGGTCTTGAAGAAATCTGGCATCACGGTGGGAGTGTGACGATGACTTGGCTGTGGGATGGTCTTCGGAGATTTCTTTGGGCTGTGAGCTCAGTGTTCCGTCGAGATTTGAGATACCGGGCTCAGGAGGTTGGGATTATATGAGGGCTTTGGGTTTTGTGGTCCGGGTGTCGGGCTGTGGGCCTGCAGTTCACGTGCCTGCTGTTCTTTTGACACGGCCAGATCCTGATATCTGGCTTAGGCCTCTTCATCCCAAGCCCGTCGCCGGAAAACCCTAAACACTAAACCCCTAAAGTTTGATAAAGCTCAGATTTAGGTTGAGACCCCCATAGGTAGGGCCACGAGTCCAATCGGAAATTCCTTTACTAAAGCTAAACGGCTCTACGCATACATAGGCACTTCGCTGGAACCCCCCTCTGCAGGTACATAGCCGAGAAAGCCTGCAAGAAGATTGTCGTGATGTGCGGCGCCGGAATCTCCACCTCTGCAGGTGTGGCTTCTAGCTTTCCCTAAACCACGGTGTAGGGTTTGGGGAAACCCCAAACCCTAAAAGCAACCCTAAACCTCGATATCCTCAAGCTTTTGGTGTTTCGCGCTTCGGGTTGGGCTTTACGACTGGCTCCGTCATGAACTCCCGGCACTTATCAGATAGGCGCACCCACACACCGTACAAGTAGTTAAGCTGTGGGTTCCGAATGAAGCTTCTCCTCTACTACAGCTCCGCCTCCTATACATACTCCTTGTCCTACTCCTCCTCCTCCTCCAGCTCTAGATCTGACCCTAAGCCATAGCAAAGCTCTAACCCTGGCTTCAGAGAGCCCTTTGCAGCCGAAACCCCCACATGAAAAGAATCCCAAATCTCCTAAACTCTAAACCCTAAACACTTTAGAAAAAACAAAACCTAAGCCCTAAACCCTCAACCCTATAATCCCTAAACCCTGCCCTCGGCCCGAAATCCCAAACCCTACAAAAGCCCCTGATCCCGACGCCACAGGGATCCCAGATTTCCGGACGCCTGGCACTGGCCTCTACGACAACCTCCAGAGGCTGCTGTGGAAGGGTTTGGGGTGTAATATAGGGGTTATAATAATTACCTATATTACTTTTGTAACATTTTTTTTGTTGGGGGGGGTCCTTATTGTGCTTATCTAATTACCTATATTACTTTTGTAACAATTTGGGGGGGCTCCTTATTATAATTGTAGAAACATATACCCCGAAACCCTATTCTAGCTATTAAGGCCCCTTCCTTGTGATGGTTTTGGATTTCGGATGAACTCTAGACCCTCAACCCTAAATGGCTTTGGGTTTGCGAGGTTTCGAGTTGTGCGTTGTGGGATTCAGGCATGCCGCGAAGGACCTGTCAAAGGCCCACATGCTCAGACAGCCATGGAACTCAAGCCCTTGATTTAAGCAGGAAGTAGTATGCTGATTGGGGCCCGATGTGAACCCTAAACCCTAAACCGTACTTGTTGGTCTAGGTTGTAGGGTTTCGGGTAGTAGTGGGCCCCCGATATGCGTGGGTTGAGGGTGCCGCGGGGGGCCCCAACTCGTGTAAAACCCCATGAAATCGATGTTTCGCTAGCCGCAAAGTAGTCGCAGAGGTTCAATCTGCCGCAGGCCGAATCCATCTTTGAGCGACTCGGCACATGAGTCGGGTTCAAGGCGAAAGGATTCTGCTAAAAAGTTAAAAAGAGCCTAAAGTAGAATTAGAAGAGGGTTTTGGGGCCCATTATGCTATAATCATAATTTGGAGCCCCCAAAACCCTTTTCTAGTTATTAAAGGCCCCTATATTACTCTATGAAGAGATCCAAGGAAGCCACATCTAGGAACCCGCCCAGTTCCGGAACTTCGCGTACAGGTTCAGAGTTCAGGGTTGAAGCTCCAACCCCGGGTTCGGTATAGGGTTTAGGGTTTTTTGTTTTCTGTTTTGGGGGGAGGTTTTATGCCGTGATCGGTCTGCGAAGTGTTGCTGTTCAGTCTGAAGAACACTGAAACAGCTTGAAACCTAAACCGTAGGCCGTACTTGAACTTCTCAATCCCAAAAGCGTCCAGTCCTTAAACCAAAAGGCTTAAGCCCTTCACTCCTTTATCCTGCAAGTCCAAAAACCTGGGCCTCAGAAGACCTAACTCCTAAATCTGAATTCTACAGTGCCCCAACTCTGAAGCAGAAATCATCTGAGATTGCGCTTCTTCCGGGACAACCCCGGGGCTTTCTACGAGCTAGCGCGGGAGCCGCCTCTGACGCACTTAATCTGTTCTGGGTTTCCTTAACTTTAAGGATTCCGTTAAAGGATCTGTACAGGCGTGTTTTAGCAGTTCTGTGTCCACAGCGTAGGGGAAGTATTTAGGGTTTAGGGTTTAGGACCTACTGCTTAGGGTTTACGGCCCAGGGTAAAGTGCTTCGGGGTTAGAGTGTGCTGCTGGTTCACGGTTTAAGGTGGGTCCAGGGTAATAGGGCATTAGCGTCTTGCATCGTCTTGAAGTTTGGGTGGCCTTCAGGCTGACGCCTTGGGAGGGGTGGGGTTTGGTTTCTTGTACGTGGGTAGTTTTCTAAACTAGGGCCCCTTTTAGGGTCCTTTT